TTGTATTGATTGAAAAATAATAATAATCTGATACACCTTATATAAGTAAAACTAATTACACTTTGGACCCTAGACAATATTAATAATATAAACTAGACTAGTTGACTTAGTCTAACATTCCCCCTCAAGTTCAGTGCGGTTAGCAATCTGCAACTTGGACCGTAGAAACTCAAACTTTTGAGAAGGCAAGGGCTTTGTAAAAATATCAGCAATTTGGTCGTCTGTAGAGATGAACTTAACAATTAGTTTCCCTTGAGTAACTTGTTCACGAACAAAGTTATAGTCTACTTCAACATGCTTGGTACGGGCATGAAAGACAGGATTAGCTGTGAGATATCTTGCGCCAAGATTATCACACCAAAGAGTAGGAGCCTTGCTATTTAATCCAAGTTCCTGAAGAAGAGACTTCAGCCAAATCAACTCAGCAACAGTATCTGCAATGGCCTTATACTCGGACTCTGTTGAAGATCGAGACAGTTTTCTGTTTGCGAGCAGACCAAGAAATAAGATTCGAGCCTAAGTAGATAGCATATCCCTCCGTGGATCGACGATCGATTGGGCAACCAGCCCAGTCAGAGTCTGAGTAAGCTTGAAGATTTTGGTTCCACTGAGAATCAGAAAAGGCTTGAAGCTGATAGCCAGTGTTGTGACGAATCCACAAGCCCAAATTGATGGTGCCCTTGAGGTAACGTAAGATCCGTTTTACTCCGGCCCAATGATTTTCAGTCGGAGCATGCATGAACTGGCAAACTTTATTGACTGCAAAGGCGATATCAGGACGAGAAAGGGTAGCATACTAAAGAGCCCCGACGGTCTGTCTATAGCGACATCGAGTAATGGGCTATCATCTGGTAACAATACTTGAGAGGTGCTCATTGGAGTAGCAATCGGTTTGCAGTCTGCAAGGCCAGCACGGTGTAAGATCTCACAAACATATTTCCGTTGTGAGAGGACTAAGTCTGCCCCCTTGTGAACAACTTCGACCCCCAAAAAATAATGTAGCTGCCCCATATCTTTAAGAGCAAAGAGAGTATGGAGCTGGTCAACGACGGTGGCGATAGCAGTGGAGTTGTTACCAGTGATGATGATGTCATCAACATATACCATAAGGTAGATAAGAGAGCCCGAAGATTTGAGGATAAAAAGTGACGGGTCGGTTTTGGACCATAAAAACCCAACTGTTGAAGAGCAGTAGACAGTTTTATGAACCAGGCACAAGGGGCTTGTTTGAGCCCATACAACGACTTGTGTAACAAGCAGATATGATCAGGTTTGGTTTGATCAATGAAGCCAGGAGTTTGACGCATGTAAACAGTTTCCTTGAGATCACCATGCAAAAATGCGGTATGAATGTCCAACTGTCTGAGAAGCCATTTGTTGGTGACAGCAAGAGACAGGACAGTGCGGATAGTGACAGGCTTGATAACGGGGCTGAAAGTCTCATGATAATCCACGCCATGCTGTTGGTGAAAACCTTTGGCCACAAGGGGGGCTTTGTACCTGGTAATCTTTCCATTTTCATC